GACATGCCTGGTTGCGACGAGGAAAACGTTTCCGGAGCTGCTTGAAAATATTAAAGAAGCAGCTCAGAGCGCAGGCCTAGAAAAGGTGGAGATATGGAACTTGCCAAGGTACTTGGATGGTCTAGCAGAGGGAGAGGGAAATGAGGACGGGAAGAAGTACGAACGAACACGTGGGTTGCCAGTGGTTAAATGGTACAGGGGTAGAGGGGAGACGCGAGATGTTGAATGGTCTTTCAATGAAAGGTATGTACTAGTCTTCCTTCGTTTCATCGTCAGACTGATATATGGAACGGGGTCTGCTGGTGCTGAAGTATAACGTTAGATCCTCTATATAGTTTATATATGCTATACTTGTCAGTTTGTTCATCCCATTTCCATGTCGCAAATCCAGAAGTAACAAGTTCTCCTCTTCTTCAAATTCTGCATAATTCCAACAGAGATACGCAGGCTCGCCCCATGTCATTTATTGAGGGCCTCTGTATATCCTCGGCTGCCCCGGTCTGCGGTTTGTTTAGGTAGACAGAAGTGACGGCCATTCGAGAATCATTATAAATCAATTAAAGATAGATCACGCAGCGCCTGACATATGATAATCGGGGTGAGAGCTTTGGTGAAAAAATTGGTGAACCTCACTTGGTCTTTCGGCGGTCCAGGGATAGGGACTATTGATTCCATGGCAGATGACATTTCAAAACACCCGCGATGAACGCAGTGCTCAGTAGCATCTGCGGTGAGGAATCGCCGAAGTTAGCGACCGTGTACTGATACTTGTGCAGTGCGGGATTCCAATGATGATGGACTTAGGAGGGCATCGGCGAATGAAAAAAAACTGGAGTTGGGCCAGGAGTGGGAGTGGGAGAAGCTCGAAGTAGAGTTGAATAATGAGCAGAGCGCTGGAAGCAAAGTACTCCTCAGTCACAGAATTGGTGTTTGAGACGCCGGAAGAGATAACTTTGGCTGCATCCGGGTGATATTGCGGTAGGCTGTATGCATGCGTTCGAAGGAGTGACATGGTGAGTGCTAGAGTAGCTGCTCGACACGAAAAACAACGATATTCATGTGATCATGCAAGATAAATAGTTGGATTCGAGTGCCGGGAAGCACCGACTGCTCGATTGGATGCGATGGGATACATTTCTGGAAGCTTTGAAGACAAGAGTCGGGCGCATGTATGTACTGAGGTACGGGGAGGATATACTGAGGGTATACTGTTGCGGACGGCTGGTATGGCAATGGTGGTGGAGGCATGGAAACGAACGGCAAGTGTCCTGGACGTCTATTGGAACGAGATGACGGGTGGATGCAGTGACGTATAATTTAAACCGCAAAATACCAAAATCGACCTCCGTGCCCAATGCTATCAACCTCCAGTAAAATGTCGAAGCTCGTTCCAGTCACTACACCCCTGCGAAAGTTCAAAGCCCATGAAAAAGACATAATGGCAGTCGCAGTATTTCCCGATAAACGACGGATGGTTACGGGCTCGGAGGACAAGACGGTTCGTCTGTGGGATTTACAGACAGGTGTTGTGTTGAAGAATATGAAGGGGCATCGCAGTGAGGTGTGGGCATTGGCCGTATCACGGAATGGGCAATTGATAGCAAGCGGTGATCTGAACGGAGAGGTCATCATCTGGCACGGAGAAACTAGAGAATCGCTCACTCAACTCATCAAAGCCCACTCCCATTATATTACCTCACTAGATTTTTCTCCAGATGGAACAGTACTGGCCACGGGTTCATATGCATATGATGGAATGATGAAACTGTGGAATACCCAAACCTGGGAGCAACGAGGAAATCCAATCAGGTGTGGTCCACATGTCTTTTGCGTACGGTATTCGCCGTCTGGAGAACTTCTTGCCATCGCAACATACGACAATATCCAAATTTATAACCCAGGCATGGCTCCGAGGCAACGCGTTGCATCCTTCAAGGCTCACACATCGCGCAACTTGTCACTCGCGTGGACGCCCGATGGCACACGCCTTCTCACAGGCGGCAATAAGGACGATCCTACCATACGCGAATGGGATGCATCGACCTGGCAGCAGGTCGGTGATCCCTGGACGGGTCATACTGGCTATATCTCTGCCCTTGCTGTTAATCCTGCTGGCACACTCATCGCCTCCGCATCTGATGACCAACATGTCCGTCTCTGGCGGCTCTCAGATCGACAAACTGTCGCCATCTTCGAGCACTCATCCCTCACGGAATGCATCACATTCTCGGTGGATGGCAAACACATCTTCAGCGGAGGTCAAGATAAGATAATCTCGAAGTGGGCACTGGCAGTATCTCAGGGTATTCATCCAAAGGCACGTTTCTGTCCTCGACTCCTATACAAAAATTCGAGCATGTTTCCTGTAGATCCTATCCATCACGACAGCCCGTGTGGCATGCATAAATGGAGACTTATCTACCGCTGAAGGACTACTCACACAAGATGTCAGCACCGATGCGAACAACCATACTTCCTACGCCCATCGCTCGTTTGTTATGGCTCGAAGATACAACTGGGACCATGCCCTTCAGGATGCAATAAAGGTGAGCTATATTACGCACTGATTAAAACCGTCTTGCAATAGCCTAACTTGATGGTGACATAGTCCATCCGCATTCAGCCCTCATTGACAGGCTATATCTCTAAGGGAATCGCCCTCTGCGAAAAAGGCCATGTCCGGGATGCGAGGGCAGCATTTGATGTTGCATTCATGTACACTAATCAAGACCCAGAAGCCATTCATTTCCTACTCTTGATCAAGGTATGTTACAGTTGCCTCGCATATTCTCCGCTTCATCACATGTTTCAGGCGATCGCCCTCTTCAATGCGGATCGAGATGATGAGGCAGACTTGCTCCTCAAAGAACTCACCGCCGGTTGTCCGAATGCCGATACTCTCGCGTGTCGTGTCGTGCAAGTAAGTGTCATCCACGCCTGATCATCAACGCTTATCTTTGCAACTCACACTTTAGGCATATCTGCGTGTTCAACTTGGAATAAAAACCTTGGATGACGCACGTCATGACGAAGCTGCTGACCATTTCACTGTCGCTCTCAACTCCAGCAATCTATCATCGAGATCGGACATTCATGAGAGATACGAAGACTTGGTGGTGGTACGTTAATACACGTCCGAAATGCTTTTTATAGCTGAGTCCCTCGTCCAGCTCTTTGACTGGGATCTCAAATCGTTGTGGCTCACTGCACACCAGAAACGGTGTGATGCACTCCTTCGGGCAGGTAAGCTTCAAGATGCCGTGAAATCGTACCGATACATGATGGTTTCGAGTGACGAATATACAAAGGCCAACTGCCTTGACTGGTCCAATGGCAAGTCCGAAGTCCGTAATGTTGCGCAGGCTACAATCCTTACCCCCATTTCACTCAGCTTTTATGAAAGAATGCAGTGCACCCTTCCTTATCAGCGGAGATGCTGCCCTCGCTGCAAGCGATTTTGACAGGGCTATTGACCTATACTCGGCGGTGATCAACCTAACTTCTTCATCCGATGCTGCCTTTGCAAAGCGCAGTAAGGCAAAGCTGGGAAAAGGGCTATGGATGGAAGGACTTCTCGATGCGCAGAAGGTGCGATGACATTTATGGTTTCTTCACCTATGCTCATTGTGGTGATACGCAGGTCATCCAACTCAACCCTTCGTCCCATGTTGGATACAAGTTGAAGCATGCAGCATTTCATGGCGCACAACGCTATGATGAAGCTATTGCGGCCTTCCAAACGATGCTGTTGAAACTGGATAATACTCTTGACACAGAGACACGAAGTAAGCACTGATACCTCGTACACCAACATACTTTAACTGTTTCTGCAGAGTTGCGCCAGCAGTATCTCAATCCAGCTGAAGCAGACTGTGCTATTCAAAAGCTCATCGATGCTCAATTTGAGAATGCTCCGATGCGTGTATTCGACACCACCACCGGTATCTTATGCGATCGAGAGGCGCAGATCTGCATCTTTAAAGCCAGCCTAGAGTATAAGGAGCTCGTATCAAAAATTATCGCCCATCCAGACCTCCAAACGCAACACATCGAGGAAGTGGTGGGAACATATTTCCGGTATGCTATGCTATCGCACAGGTGGGAAGGCAGGGAGCCGCTGTTGGGGGATGTCCAAGGCAAGGTCGTCTATAAGTTGGATCCGGTTGGCGGCATTACGAAATTGCAGTCCTTCTGCAAAACTGCTCGTGATTTGAGGTATCGCTGGGCATGGAGCGATACATGCTGTATTGACAAGAACAACGATGTTGAGCTCCAGGCATCGGTCAAGTCCATGTCCGCCTGGTATCACCACTCTGCGCTCACAGTTGTATACCTTTCGGATGTTCCACCTTCGTCAAAGTCTGGCGCACTGGCAAAGAGTGCCTGGAACACACGGGGATGGACGGTTCAAGAATTCCTTGCTCCCAAAGTCATTCTCTTCTATCAGAAGGATTGGACTCTTTATCTCGACGATCGCACTCCCAACCACAAGGATTCCGTTGCAATCATGCAGGAATTGGAGTATGCGACGGGCATAGATCGACTAGCCGTCATAGCATTCCGTCCCGGGATGAGAGACGCCAGAGAGAAACTCCAGTGGGCGTCGACACGTATTACCACATTGCAAGAAGATATCGCATACTCGTTATCCGGCGTTTTTGGCATCCGCCTACGTGTTGATTATGGCGAGAAGAAGCAGTACGCACTCGGGCGACTCCTGCAGGAAATCGTAGCTCAGTCAGGCGATATTACTGCCCTGGACTGGGTCGGAAAGTCATCAGAGTTTAATAGCTGTCTACCAGCTGACATCACTTCATACGAAACTCCACCGTGCGTGCTGCGACCTCTATCCGAAGATGAGATTCAGACATCAATCTCCTCGTTTGCTGCGAGGTGTTGTGGCTCTAGAGTCGGCTTTGGAATTGTATCAAACACTTGACCACCTGAGCGCTCCCCGTTTCGCGCACCGCCGGTTGCATCCGCCTTCCATCGTATTCCCAATCACAGAAGCAAGGCGGACACCAGGACGAGACCAGGATACATATACGTATGCACTCAAGTCAGACGGGCTTCATGACCTGCAGATCACCATGGCAGACAAGTTGATCCCATTCTCGCCCGCAAGGCCGGCGCCTGTCTGGCAGACAATCTTGCTTGTCCGTCCATGGAGTCGCGATCTCCTTGAGTTGCATGACCCTGTGGACGATACACACAGCGTAGAAGATTGGTCCATGCCCGAATCTCCGTCGCATGATTCACTCCCTGTACAAACTGAGCCGATTCATTCAGATTCTCACTCGCTAGCATTGCGATTGATTGTCCGCCTTGGACAACCTTTTGGTGCGTTTTTGCTAGCGCGGCAGCGCAACGGAGAATTCAAGAGGATCGCGTCGGATCATGATATCATTGCACAAGTCAAAGACATGACTTCTGTTGACAGCATGACGGACATCAGGACACTAGAGATAGTGTAGCTGTATAGAATCTCTTAAAGATCTCCAAGCGGTTTTCGTTTGTACCTTGACGATCAAACATGTGTATTCTATCCCGGGCAAGCCCACTTGGCAGATGTTCCTACTTGTCCGTCCATGGGATCAGTATCTCCTCGGGGTACCTGACTTTGCAGAGCAGCCTGACCTCGCAGACGATACGGAGAGCATAGGAGATTGGACCGAGCCCGAGTCCTCGATGGACGACTCTGACAAGTTACCCGGCAGTTCGCCTGTTGAAGAGGAGCTTGGCTCACGAGCGTTGCAGTTGATGGTTCACCTCGGACACCCTTTTGACGCATCTTTGCTAGAGTAGCAGCCTTTCAGAGAATACAAGAGGATCGCGTCGGACCATCACATCGTTGCACAAGTCAAAGACATGGCTTCCATTGATAACATGGACGTCGGTATTGTAGAAATACTCTAATTGCATTTAAGGCCAGGCATCTCTGGCTAATTTTCATTCGTGCTTTGACAATAATATCCGTATTATTTCTATGTAGATGCATGCACAGATGTTCCATGCCTACCTTCGAAGCAGACTTATCCATCACCAGGCAGTACTTCTCAGTCCTATATGCACCACCATCCCGCGCCAAATTACTTCGCAGATTCACGACCACCCCCTAAGGTTTGATTCGTTCAAAGGCCCCGGATTGACATTCCCTTTCTTGTTGGCTTGGTGCAACAGTACTCGCGTCGACCAAGGCAAGAACGCATATCTTGCTGGCAGCTCGGGCTGTAACTTGTCGTGGAAGAGCCAGCGGAAGTAATAAGATCGAGGTGATAGGCGCCAGACACTAATAGATTGATCAGGTAATCTGATCAAGGATTCCCGCCGTCCGGGTTGGACGAAGCACAGCTTGATTAAAGATACTCATCTTCCTCCTTGATGCCTCCCCATGATCTCGCCGCACTCTCGCTATACCCGGCAACGCCTGCACAAGTGCTAGAGACGCGCGAGCGTACATGGCCTCACTGGGGCGGTAGCACCACACTTGAGCAATACCTCCAATATTACAAGCGTATGGACGAAATGGAACACGCGCGAGATGGAAGGATGATTACCTGGTATGAACCTTGGTATTGAGACTGGTCAGATTTATCTTACAATCGTTTGGTAAAGGGTACTTGCGCCAAGAGACGACCCCATGACGCTTGATTTTATGTGTGCGTGTGAGACGTAAGCCAATTGGATCTAAATGGCAATCCAGGTCGTGCTAACTGTAACCCAGGTACAAGCGCACAGGACTCGTCGCATATCCTTCCCCAGATGGCCCCAACAAAGTAAACGAAGTGCCATGCTATGGGATCGCTAGCGTGTACACACCCGAGGCGAAGAGGAGGAAAGGATATGGGCAGCATATGATGCGCCTGTTGCATTGGGTGATCTCGTCCTGTGATGATTTTGTCGACTTTCCAAAGGAGTGGGGTGTGCCGCCACCCAAAGTGGACGGTGCGGGTGGAGCTGCGTTTTCGGTATTATACAGTGCGGTGGGGGAAGACTTTTACGGGGATGCGGGGGTACAAGCAGAGGGTAAGGGTGGTGGGTGGCAGGTGAGGGCGCCGTGGTCTTGGGCATGGGAGGTCAGAGGTCAGATGGAGAAAGTTCCGGGGAGGGTTGAGGAGTCACCCGGGTGGAAGTGGGTGGAGGAGGGAGATTTGGACGAGATGTGGAGGGAAGATGCAGGATTCATCAAGAATAGCTTGGAGGGCACACCGAGGTCTGATCCCTCGTATGAGACACCGAGTCCCACGGCATTTGTATCAGCTCTGCCAGACAGGGGTGTTGGTTCGTTCCAGGTAGTGCGCTCGCTACTCGTATCTGGGCATGCGGTCCCGTTGAAAGTATGGGGAATAAGAAAGGAAAACATTGGTGATGAGAGGCGGGCGACGTATGCAACGTGGGCTGCGAATATGTGGCCTACGCCGACGTTGATTGTGACACGCCTGGCTGCGACGAGGGAAACGTTTCCGGAGCTACTTAAGAAGATTAAAGAAGCAGCTCAGAGCGCAGGCCTAGAAAAGGTGGAGATATGGAACTTGCCAAGGGACTTGGATGGTCTAGCAGAGGGAAAGGGAAATGAGGACGGGAAGAAGTACGAACGAACACGTGGATTGTCAATGATTAAATGGTATGGTAGAGGGGAGACGCGAGATGTCGAATGGTCTTTCAATGAAAGGTACCTGCTAATCTCCCTTCGTTTTATTGCCAGACTGATATATGGAACAGGTTTTGCTGGTGCTGAGATGCGTAGTATAACATTGGATCTTCCATATATATAGCTAATGCTCATATATGCTATACTTGTCAGTCTGTTTATCCCATTTCCTTGTCGACCCGTCATCCAAGTCCAGAAGTAGATACACAGGCTCACCCCATGTCATTTATTGAGGTCCTCTGTATATTCTCGCCGCCGCCCGGTCTGCAGGTAGACAGAAGTGACGATCGGTATACATGTTATATGAGAACCATAAACATTGTTGATGTTGCGCTTTGACCTTCTCACATCTCCCTTTAGAAATTTGACATCTGTGTTCCTTTATTCAAAGCGGAATTCTGTTGTAGCTGCTTGTCGATTATTGGTGTACTTTGGAACAACGTAAACCTCACTTTGAATCCCATTACCAACGACGCCGTGTTCGAAATATTGCATGGTGTTTGTTGATCACTGGAGGGTTTCAACAAACTGCCCCCATGGGATATACCGCCATGACGTAGTTATAAGACCGAGGAAATAGAGTCAACAAGCCGAGAACAACCTGCAACCACTTCCATTAGCTTATTTACATTATGAGAAACGACCGTCATCTTCATTTATCGTGCACCCATTGACGAGATGGTCGTGCAGCATGTCCCCTTTGACTATCAATATATGAGGTGGAACTTCATTGATGTCATCTTGGAGCGGCCTCCGTCGTTTTCCTGTCATATTGCCGCTGAGTGTGATAAAAATCCGGCAACGAGTGTTTTGCTCATTTGAGTCATTTTACACTCACGACGATCTCGCATATTGACCATTTATATCAGCCGGTACAATTAGCAGATCCTGCGTGTTCATGTAAGCGAATCCGAGTCCTTTGTTCTTCTCTGGGTGATCTGTTTTAATGGATGATGTCGTATCAGGGAACAGTACGAAGATTGCTTTCGTGACAATTGTGACATCTATCCTGGATGGACGGAAACGTTGTGGAGGCACTCGTCCAGAAACTCGATATGACAAGGTTTAGGAACTGGGGTCGAGAAAAGAGGACAAGATAGGGTCGGGATGACAGCGATGGCGGGGGTTATGTTGTTGTTCCTGGTGGTTGTGATATGTGCGAGAATGGGGAGATTTCGAGGCCCAAGGACTGGGCTACAAGGAGGCTCATAACAATATTGCTAGAACAGAGCTGTTGGAGTAGGGGTCCCACAAGTATAGCATAGGAGAGGAGAGCCCAGCGGCCCATTCCGAAGCTTTTGGTCAGCAGAGTAGCATAGGTTGTTCGAGTAGCAGTACACACACTCGCTCCGAGTAGAGCATCTCTCTGATTCTTGGTTCGAGCCCAGCCACCCTGTCCATCGTTGTGAACAGAGCGAATTCAACCCACATTTGCCTTAGCCATTAGTTCTAGCCCACAGTCTTAGCCGCAGTCTCGATCCTCAACCAACCAATCAGAACAAAGGAGAACCTTCGATTCAGAAACACAACAGCCCGCTCCAGGAATCAACGAAGTAAAGGGGTGGGGCGGTGGTGGTCGCGATGATGTAAGAATAACAGACAGCCCGAAATTTGCCGACCAAACACCCCCACACCTGTCCCCCAGACTTCACCCAGACACTTTGGTGCGGAGTGCGTGCGGACTTCACACAGACCGGCCATTTCCTACATGTCCTCGGTAGATTTTATTACATTCGAAATACAATGATTTCGGTCAAATTAGCAGATTTTCTGGAATTTGTTTTACATGGGCAAGCAATGTCTCTTGCCTGTTTAACCTGGCGCATCGCTAATTTTGTTGATCCTCTCCGCCGCATCCTTGCATGGTTCTAACAAACATCAACTCCCGCGCTTGCTACTCTTCTCCCCGTAGCTTCGCTTGGTCTCATTATCCATCAACAATGGAGCACAATCACAATGTGAAGTCGAGCTCAAGCAGTGACTTAGCACATTGATATGTTTGGCGCATATACCCACCATGGGGCTTCAAGCTTTACCTCTCATCTTTGCAGCCTCATTCGTCCTTGCCATCTCCTGATCCAAAGTGAAACATGACACAAACTGATGCGCCTTGTGTTGTCTCATGATCTTCGTGACCTCGTTCGGACTCTCGATACGGGGAGGTTCGGGAGTTGGGGTTGAGAGAAACAGGATGAGAGAGGCGTGATGTTGTTCCTAGTGGTTGGTTTAGATGCGGGCGGTATTGACGAGGAGTCGACAAGCAAGGTAAAGCCATTTTCTCCATCATTTTGGTATCTTGAGGAAGACGCAGCCTTCAAATGTTTGGCTATGCAGAATTTGATTTTAGAAAATTGTCCCCAATGCACTTACTTCCTCGTCAAGACCTAGTGTGATTATAACCGTACGAGTGAGCTTGAAGTGATTCTCTAGCATGAATTTAGTCGCAGTTGTAATGAATAACCCGAGGACATGAGCCTGAGCTCGGGAATAGAACTACAAGGAACTGTTCATTTGGATGCGACGGCATACATTCTAGAGGCCGTGGAGACAAGAGTCGGACGCATCGGAGTCTATGCACTGAGAATATACGGCAGGTATGACAGCAGGGTGCCTTACGATGATGGAGGTAAACAGCTTCAAGTGCCCTGGGCGTCTTTTTGAAATGAGACAAGTAAATGCCATATCTTAAACTACAAAATACACGTACCTCTGGAGCTGAGAGAAGGTGACCTACAATCCCTCCAAAGTCCACCTCAACCACGCTCACACCATCAACCTTCAGTAAAATGTCGCAGCTCTTTCCGATCACCACACCCTTGCAAGTGTTCAAAGGCCATGACAAAAGCGTATGGGCAGTTGTAGTGCTCCCCGATAAACGACGAATGGTTACGGGCTCGAGGGATAAGACGCTTCGTCTGTGGGACTTGAATACAGGTGTCGTGTTGAAAAAGATGCAAGGGCATAGCAGCAGGGTGTGGGCATTAGCGGTATCACGAGATGGGCAATTGATAGCAAGCGGTGACGAGAACGGAAAGGTCATCATCT